TTATAGTATAATGAAAAAGTTTCAATATATACATACATATATTTTTTATTTTACTTCACCTATTTTAAATGTATTGTTATCCCGATTCTAAATATGTGTTATAAATGTCTATATTAGCATATATACGTTTATACGTATACGTAGCATATAATTAAAATTCCTATACGTAGTATGTAGCATGTAGCATGTAGTATGTAGCATAAAGTTGATCCGTTAAATATAAGATATATATACTTTACCCCTCCCTAAAAAAAAAAACTCGATCAAAATAGGGTGTATAGACTAGACTTAACTGTAACCGGCTGTGTTCATTATCATGTAATAAGATAATCTTGATACTCTAAGCCTAAAATCATTGCTTCGCAGCATATTGATATGTAATATATGTAATCCTTTAATGGAATTTGGAGTTCGGTGTATAACGATAAGAAGATATTTATTCCTATATTGTATTATATATCTTTACTCCGGATATATATTTTTTGTGAGATATTCAAAGACCAGTACCGAAAGTTAAAATTCCTTGAATCGGTGTATCATTTACAGTATTTTTTTTTTTTAAAAAAAAAAAAATTTACGTAATCAACGATTTTTATAGGTTCGTTTAGTTGTGACGCAACCTCTTTTAATCGTTTCTAATAAAGTATTTAAAGTTTTTTTGAAGTTACAATCTATTAATTGTCATATTTAGACAAATGAAGTTGATACAACAACTTTAAAGAGTTGAATCGAAATATCTACCGCTACAAATATACTGCTTAAACCACAGTATGCTTCAAACATTTTTATTATTTGACACAGGTTTACGACAATATGTTGGGATAGATCAATACGGAAAAACGCCAAGTCTAGAAACAAATAATATTTTGTTTCCAGATTATGGGTCTGGTAAAGACCATACCCGAGCATAAGAATTCCGGGTGAAATATTTTCCTCTATATCAATAAAATGGTCATATGCACATTAATTGAACAAATACATGCATCAAGAATAACAATAATACTATTACAAGAAAGATTCGATACGCCCAACCAATACAATAACTACATAAAAAAAAACAATGCAAGTACAAACTTTGTTGATCCGGATCATTGTTTGCATTCTTACGCCACCATAATAGGGATATCCGAATATATCGATATATATGCTACGTATCGGTATGAAGCGCTAATGCATTTACCATTCGCAAAAAAAAAAAAAATTTTTTTTTTTTTTTAATAATACAAATGTGTAAATATTTAATAATCTAGATATGCAATTATAATGTATTACTATGCGATGTATACGTGCATAAATTAATTTCAAAAGAACAGTACGTACGTACGTATCTCGGCGGCATCATCAATAATCCGACACCTTTTACAAGAAATATGCGTGAAAATTGTTAGATGTAGTTTTAGGCGTAATTGAAATTCCTAATTTAGAGGTTTAGTAATATAAAAAATAAGGGATTTGTCATATCCTAACATAATTCAAAAACGCAGTAAGATCTTTAGGTAAAATTTAAAATCTACACAACTGAATTTATTGATCTATTTGTTTATAAAGATCTTAGTAACTATTATTACATAATTTACTAATATACTATTCACATACGTACACGTACGTACGTACGTACAATCTCAGCTAATCTCAATTAGCATATATATATTATATATGTATGATTATGTAATGTTTTGTTATTGAATAAAACAAACATCAAAAAGACATCAAAAGGATAATTGAAATAACAAATCAGGAATTTAACCATTTCTCTTGATAATATGTGTAAAAAAAAATTGCGAGAATGACATTTTTTTTAAAAAGCTCAAAATGATCAAAGTTTTCTGACATAATCAATAAATTAATGTAATGTCAAAATCATAATTTATTTTTATAAAATCGTGTATTAATGATTGTTCTCTAATACTGTAATAGCATACATTCATGTCCATTTTTATGCAAATCAAAATAACCAAATCTGGAATGTGTTAAAACATGCTTAAAAATTAAAAAAATGCTTAAAAAAAAAATTTTTATTAATTTTTTTTTGACAGGTATAAACTAAAAAATACTTTGCATATATTTTCGAAATTTTATGTTTTATTATACAAATTAACATAAAAAAAATTTAATAAAATTAAAATAATAAATGAAAGAAACAATTTTATCATTGTTTATTATATAATCAGTTGCATTAAATTGCGAGTAAAAAAGACAAAGAAATAACAATAAACTAAATAAACTACGTATTAAATTAGTCATCTCTTTTTTGAATGATTTATCCGCAGTAACAATATACACATATACGCATATACAGTATGTGTGATATTCTTTGTATATGAATTATTTGTCATGATGAATCATTTGATACAAATGACATACCAAATAAAAATCTTTATTCAAACATGCATACATACCATATAATAATAAGTTCTTGATCTTCCGTTATCATAATCGCCTGATAATAACCTGATAACATTGAGAATAACTTGTATTCGAATGACGTGAGAATAAAAAAAAAAAATTTTTTTTTTTTTATGCAACTTGGTCACATGCACCGAGGTTTAAAATTAGTAATTTCCAAGTATGTGAAAATGAGAGTTTTGAAAGGCGGAAATGATGAGAACGGCCGAATGCATCACCGCCTTAAACATTAGCCAATATTATCAACAGGTTTTTAATTATTCTAAAGTTTTTGCTTGTTTTTCGATTTGGTTTGTGAATCGAATTTTTTTACACCAAGAATAAAGTTTGTTAGCAACCATGGGATCATGGGGTTACTTTAATTGTTCTACTGTAGTAAAATTTGATCAAATATAGAAGACGGAGATTTTTATTAGGATTTATAACAACAACAACAACAACCGACATTGGGCATTTTGTTTATTATTGAAATTAAATTCATTATTATTATTTACCCATTTTTGTCTTTAGAATCTATTGTTTTTTTTCTTTTGAATACTTCCCATTTACACTCCAATTACATTCACTGATTTATTTTGTAAACATGCATGAATTATGTCACACTATATGTCAATGAAAATAATGGGATAATTGTAAGCCTTCCGATATGTAATGCTATGTACAGCAAATAGAATAAAATAGTAATTTTTAACTAACCTTTAATGTAGTTTTTAGGTACATTTATAGTATAGTCTCACCCTACTACAGCATATACTCACATAGCATATGATATCCATCGAATAATAACCGCAATGATATTATTATATAATTTTATTACGTTAATTATTACGTATTAATATTATTACTATTATATTACTACGTATACTAAATTATTATTACTATTATTACTGTATTATTATTATTATTATTATTATCTGTTATTATTATTACTAATGCTATTATTATTATTATTATTACTATTGCTATTATAATTATTATCATTATTATTACGTATTATCATTATTATGATTTTTTATGATTATTATTATTTGAACTACGCCTGCCGGATTCCAAACATAATATTTAATTTGGCTAATTATTTCTACCTTTGTTCTCAGCATGCATTAATGATTCAGTTGAGAAAAAAAAAACAAACATCATGACAGCATGAAAAAGATACTCGCCCCACTTTTTTTAAATTTGGAAAGACGGAAAACCTAACCACTTACAAACAACGCGTTTAATATCCATTCTGAATACAATAAACATGAATAGGGTATGATATGTACATAAAATATTATTTGTTCTCTGTGCAACTAGATTTCCTTTTATTGTTCCGAATTAGTTCACCTTTTTTAGTTTGGAAAAAAAAAATTTTTTTTTTTATTTATTTATTTATTTTTTGTTTTTTTTTTTTTTGTTTTGATACTGATTTTGGCTTAGAGTCATACTACGTACAGTACAGTACGTTCGTACGTACGTATACGTATACGTATTATTATCGTTATTACCAGTTACTTTGTTATCCTTTCATACAATTTTTTATTATTTTTTTATTATACAGTAAAGGATAACCAGTAAATTTGGTTAAGAGTCATAAACTAATTAGAACAATAGCATATGGCTTTTTCTTATAATCCCTAACCAATCATACAGTTACAAAAATTTGTTTACAAGACGGGAAATTAAACTAACACTACCATTTTAAAAAAAAAACTTACGCATGTCGGTTGTCGGTATGTCGGTATGTTCCATAATATCTGAAGTTGTAAAAAATAATCATGACGTAGTAAAACAAAAAACTAGTGTCATCCGGATGAATCTGTAAGCAAAGTATTGTGAACCCAAACATTGTGTGTTTAATGGAAATTATGATGAACTATATTGAACTATATTGAACTATATGTAAATTGTAATACAATGATCCGCCCAAAAGAAAAAAAAGATCGTATGTTATGTTATCCTTTAAAAGATCAAAAAGTACTGTTTAACGCCAGTTCCCTTATTAATAAGCATTAGCATAAATGTTTATATTAAACATTTTTAAACTACTTTTAAAAACTCGGCTGTCAAAAAATATAAAAATAGGGGTTTAATATTGTATCACTTAAAAGAACTACTTACTGAATAAATAACTGAATATACTGTATATAAAAAAAAAATGCAATCTAAATAAATAAATATATAAATATATATATATATGTATATATAACAGTATAACAGTATAATATCGCATACATTATTTACATTATTATTGAGTTAAAATTAAATATAATATAGCATTTTATTATATGAGTATATTATACATAATATACGTTATTATACGTATGAGAGAAAAAGTAGTGTTCAAAAATGAATACAATTAACTGTAAGAACTCACAGTAATATATATTATTATTAAGTATGTGAAACCGTATAAATACCGACCACTCATTTGATATCTTTAAGGGTGTTTGACTCTATAAAAAAGAAGGCAGGGACCCTCTGTATGCCACTTTCAAGACTCCCATGCCAATTCGATTTACGATTATTTGAGTGATTATTGTTCGGATTCGTCATCTGAATCACCAGAGTCTTAACCGTGCATAAAAGTGCTCACTCTTCCCATTTCAAACATGACTGATGTCGCACATTCTGTGAGTCTGGACCAACGTCTCGATTGTCCTCACGATCCAGTTTCCTTTCCTCAATATTCAAATATTCCTACGCCTGCTACTTTCGCTGTCATTACGCCAAGTTTTTTTTCGGCTAATCAACAAATTTTAGATTCAAGTTTGGTACCATTTGGCGGTTTCGATTTATCATCAGGTGAACCATCATCATTTGAAGCTATTCGACCTTCAATTTCTGTTAATCTTTTCGAACCGCAAAATTGGCATGCCATTCTCGCTGTTATGAACTTTCAACTTCAACCTCAACAACAATCAGACCAAGATCTTTCTCACTCACCTCAACAACATTCGCGACATTTTAACGATATGGCTACTTATCATCAATATTCTTCTGTAGACGTACCAACAATGTTACAACCTCCTGCTACTCCTCCTTTTGTTGAACCATCAGCAAATTATTTTGCTGTACCAACTACGACTACTTCAAATTTACCTTTACAATCTTCGCCTTACTTTACTAATTCGACATTATCTGCAACTTTACCGACTGCAAATAATAATATTAATAACGTTCAAAATTCGACTCAAAATAATGTGACTGCTGTAACTGCGAATAACGCTTCCGTTACAAACTCTCGTAATTATTCAAATTCTGGTGGTGGTGTTGGTGGTGTTGGTGGTGTCGTTCACCATCATCATCAACAACAACAACAGCAGCAACAACAGCAACAACAACATCAACAACAACAACAACATCATCAACATCATCATCATCATCATCATCCTCATAATGAGATTTCTCCACAAAGAACTATTGGAATGAATTCACAATTACTTACTACAACCAATAGTTATGGACAAGGAACTCAAACAAATACAGATTATAATAATAATAATTTTATTTCTCAAAGAACGATTTATAATGGAGCAATACCTTCAACTATTCATCAAAAAACAATTCCGCGGACGATCAATACAAATCTTCATCAAAGTCCAACTAATACATATTCACGACCAAATTCAGCTACAACATCACCAATAAATAGTTCTATTGCACCACCATTATTTGCTCAAACAATTGCTCAAACATTGAATACAGACGGTCATGGAAATAATACTACTATGCATTTACCAATGTTTGAATCAAATAATAATTTAACAGCATGGACGACAACGACAAAAACTCCTACTACAATTACTATTCCAACAACGCACTCTGATAATTCGTCCAAATCTACTTCACCAACTACACCGACTTATTCATATAGTGGTCCTCCAAAGAGTTATTATTCTCGTTTACCTCTTTATGATAGACCGTTTAAATGTGATCAATGTCCGCAAAGTAAGAATATTATATAATATATATTTTATTTTATTTTATTTCTTAATTTTAATTTTAATTTTAATTTTTTAATTTTTTAATTTTAAAGGTTTTAATCGTAATCATGATCTTAAACGTCATAAACGCATACATTTGGCCGTGAAACCATACCCTTGTCCATATTGTGAGAAACAATTTAGTCGTAAAGATGCACTTAAACGACATATTCTCGTTAAAGGATGTAATAATAATTCAGTGAGTAAGAGCGAGTCTTTATCAACAACAAACGCTACCGGAAATAGTCAAATGATTACCGTTGGAGAGTCTTTATCAAATTCAAGACAAAAATATGATACATCACCAATAGAAAATTATGTTGATAACAGAATTCCTTAAGGAAGCGACGATATGGGTTTGAAAACTAAAAGTTTTGATCACAATTATGAATTTTTTAAAAAAAAAATTATCTATAACAAAAAATTAGGAAAATTACTTTTTACCTTTCTTTCGACTTATAAATATAGACAATTACCGATATATATAAAAAAACAAACTCGAGAAAATATTGTGGTCAAGCTTTTATGTATCGATATCAAACCAAATGACACATCGCTAATGTTTTTTTTTCGTATATATTATATCTAGCAAAACTCATGTATATAAAAACTTTTATTTTATATATATATATATATATTTTTTTTCTTTTTTTTTCTTTCTAAATTTTTAAAAAATCCAAATTTCCAACTCCAACTTCCCAACGGTGCTTTTTTCTTCTATTTTTCATGTAAATAGTATCTGTGTGTGATAAAACCTTCCTTCGTTTTTCATTTGAGCTCAAATATTATTTTTTTTTTATCGACTAATTTTTTTTCTTCTGTTTTTTCTTAGATTTTATATCGTTTTTATTTACTTTACTGTATGATTTCGAAATTAGTATAATTAGTTTCTTCCGCCTTCACCACCTTAACTTTTTAAGAAATGCATTTTTTAAAAATCCGTTTTTTTTAGCTAAAAAAAATCAATTATGAAACTTCAAAAAAAAATATATATATTTTTTTTTTAAAAAATTACGCGTAATTAGTACTTTTCTTTTTTCTTATCTCGCTATATTTCTTTTTTTCTTTTTTAATTTCAATTTATTAATGAGAAAATCTATAAAAATTATGAAAATAAAAAAAACATACACAAAAGACTATTAAAAAAAATGTTACAGTATTTTTGATGATGATGATGATGATGATGATGATGTAAATGAGTTCCGGAGTTGATTTGATTCGAATTTAGGTCGGAAAACTTTTCAGTAACTTTTCAGGGTTTAAAAATTTTTGGGACCAAAAACTTATCACATATATAATTCGTAAAAATCATTTAACCAATAACATGAACACTTAAGATTTCTGCAATGCATCGGAATCTCTACTTGAAATCTCCAATTACAAAATCATTACGTAATGAGCTATTCCAAATTTAAACTAGCAGCTTTTTTCTATTTTTTTTTTTTTTTTTTTTTTTTGCCATGCTTGGGTACTAAAAGTTATTATTATCAGAAAAAAAAAAAAAAAAAAATAGTTTATAATTAAAAATACCAATGCTAGACCAATACTGGATTTTTACGTTCCATGAGCCCAAAAATCGAGATACCTACTATTATACTATTATGTAATATTTTGGTTCGAGTTTTTGATATTAATTTTATCTGAATCTCTGAATCTTAAATAATAATAATGAATAACGATAATAAATGGATTACATTACAGCAACAGCATTAAGAGAGGATAACAATACTGTATAATATATTATATTAATTATACAATGCTGTGTTTAAGATACTATACTAGCCACGACTATTTTTGATGTTCGATCATCGAATTAATAATGTCTATCCGATCAGACCTGTATACCAATTATGAATTGTTCATTGCTTTATGGCGTAACTAAATACATATATAGTATTTATTTTAAACATATAAACTTATAATAACTATATAATAACGCATGCGTCAACTTTCATCTTCTTTTATGTTTCAAATATATGGAATAGATTGTTCTTTTTTTTTAATGCATATCTCGAATGATTCATTCTTTAAAGTAGTACTAGTTTCTGCAATGTCTACCGGCGGTTGAACAAAGCGTACCGAGAAAATGCGCCAAACGATTTGTGTAAATAATTCTATTATATTGGGCGTATTAGCATATTGTTGTAAAAAAAAAAAAAATAATCTCCAATTAGAAAGACCTTTAAAGAAACTTTGAAATTATAATAAAATTAAATAATGAATAATAATGTATAATAATGAATAATAATGTATAATAATGTATAAACGTGGGTACTCTTTTGGCGTAACAAAAATTTATTATCCGGGAAGAAAAAAAAAAATCATTTATTTTTTTTTTTTAAAAAAAAAAAAATTAATAGTAATGATTTTCACGTTCTTCCAATGTTTCATTCTAACAACTAACGCTAAGGGAAAAATATCAATTTAAAAAATGTCACTTTCATTTATCGTTTATGCTTCTGTCAAACATTTCATTTTGTCTAGTAATTTGGCGTTCTCGTGCGACTAATCAATCTATCTTAAAAACTGATTATTAGAAGCGCGTTAGTTTCGTATGATATCATTTAACTCACAATTTGGTTTTAAAAGTACGTCATAGTTGTCACTTCATTGATACATTGATACTTATTGATACTTGTATAGTAAACTCGTACATCTATTTAAATCATCGCTATATTTCTATATTTCTATATTTCTATATTTTTTTATTTTTTTATATTTTTATATTTTTCCTCGATGCATTCGAACCATTCAACTCAAAACATTCAACTCAAAAAAATCAAAAAAATCACGAGATGCAATTTAACCGGTCAATTTCAAGATTTATGCAAGATAATTCTTCGAATTGAAAAAATATTCTAACGCGAATGATATGTGATAATCATGCAATTGGCGTTAGATGTTGATTAAAGAAATTGTGTCAAAAAATCGTGCAGAAAATACGTAATAAATAAATAATAGAACTTGTACAGGAACCGGGATTTTAGGAAACGCGAAATTTTTTTATTCAAAAAAAAAATTTTATTCATTTTTTTACAATAACACGATAGCACGGGGCACATACCACTTTACTTACTTTATATGGAAATTTTAAATCCAAAAGCATTGTTCAGTGCGTCAGATGAAAGGGCGCAAGCTTGTAGCCCTTTGGTCACACCCCCCATTTCTCTATATTCACCTGCATCTTTAAGGGCCTTTTTTTGATCTCTCCTAACTGCTAAGATTCGGAAAGTCAAAAAACTTTGTTCTCCAATTAGTGTAATTGTTTTTCTTTAAGGCATACGCATGTTGACTAATATCCGATAAGGAGAACCTAGCCTGTCTCGAATTGGTCATTCATTTTCTGTCGTTCAATTTAGTTACAAAAAGAGGAATTCAAATTTAAGATTCCAGAAAACTGAACATAGCCTACCTCTAATTAAGTACTTTATTATTTGTGTTTTATTTGAATAAGAAATAATTTTGAATTCAACTTTTTTTTTTGAAACTAAACTTGAATTATCAAAAAAAATTTATTTATTTTTTTTTGATAAGTTTGATAAGACAAATCCTGTCACAAACAAATCCTGTCAAACAAATTGTGTACGGAGTTAAAAAAAACGTGATATTAAGATATATATATTAAAAGATATCTATCTTAAAAGATATATTAAAAGATATTAAAAAAAATTACATCATATAGATATGTTTTATCAACCCAAAGTACTTAACATATTTACGCACATGTTTGATACACCCAATTACACTTGTGTGTTAAATGTATATGCATTCTTAGCATTGGTGGTTCTAAGGATGGCAAATTTTTTTATTACGTAAACAAGTAATGATTATGTTCTTAAATATATTTAAATCCAGATTTAACTATTCGAACCTTAATCATCACCGCTTTTAACTCATTCCTAATTTCATTTTTCTTAAAGTGCCGGTTTTTTGAAATATATCCCTTGGATGATGATCATTCTATAACTGATAACGATAACTGATAAGTTGTTAAATCCTGTACGTACGTACGTACTTACGTACAGTAATTATTTTATTTAAATTATTTAAATACAGTATATATATGCTATATTATATAGTATTTTTGTCATAGATAATTTTAAATAAATTCTACGTACGTAATTTATATACAAAAAATCTTTAAACTTTATTACTGTACATCCTTACATACATACTTACGTACGTATAACCTTTTTCTAATAATATTTTAAATCTCGTTATTAAAACTATAAATTGTAATTTTTTAAAAATAGTGCAAAATGCGCTTATAAATAGCATAATTATTCGTAATCATAATCGAATGACCATTTTAATTTATGTCTGATTTTTTTTTTTTATACTTATTTTACGTAATAGATATATATATACAGTATAATATATAGTGTATAGATATATATATATAAATAAAGTAAAACTTTAAATAATATGAAATTAAGTATTTTAATTGGTTAAATTTTATAAAGTCATCTCTCGTTATAGTCACATCATCTGCATTATCCAACAGAAATTTGAAGTGGCTCGAATTAGCTAAAATTTTTAACACTAATCGACGATTTAGTTGTTTCAATTTTATAAATTACTTGCGTAATTATTTTGTTTTTTTAATAATTATTAACTTCAAATTAGATAAATTTAAATTTTCTAATTTTTTAAATATTAACTACAATAATAAAAATTATTTTTTTATTAATAATACAGTATATAATAATAGCTTTATTATACAGTATATATATAGTATATATATATAAGTTTTATAAAATATTAAAAATTGATATTTATTATACAGTAAAATATTAAAAATTGATATTTATTATAAAATATTAAAAATTAATATTTATTATATAGTAAAATATTAAAACTGATATTTATTATAAAATATTAAGAATTGATATTTATTTTTTATTTTTATTTTTTTTTAAGCGATCCTGTCTTTATTTAATTAAATGAACTACTAACAGATGCTATGATACATCAAACTAGATTTAATGTTCATGACTAATAAAAACTCACCAAGCCAAAACCCAATGCAATCAGCTATAACAACTATTAGTTACTCCTGGGATTCAAAACTTTCTTTGAATTTCATAATGATTAGGTTACCCTCCAAAAGTTATGACAGGTTGTTGTATACTATATTAGGATCTTTTTTTTTTCTCTTCTAATTCTTCCTTCTTCTCAAAGGGCACGAGATATAAAGAAGGAAATTTAAAAATAGCCAAAAAAAAAACGACTGATAAAAACCCAAAAAACATCAAAAAGAATAAAAAAAAAAAACACATATTTCGAAAAAGAAAAAACAAAAGAGAAAAAGAAAAAATCTTAACAAAATGATATAGTTAT